AAAAAAAAAAAAAAAAATCTGAGTCTTTTCCTCCAAGAGTTTGTGATTTAGACAGTAGAGATGTGGTCAGGAAAGAGGTATGGAGAAATGAACAAACACTACACTGAGGATACTTTGCCTTTGTAGGCCATGCTGACTAGTTTTTATAAACTTTCATGTCACCATCCAATAAATAAAATTTGCTTAAAATGATTTCATTATATATATGATTTTAATTATTTTAACTCCTATTATACTTAAATCATACTAAGAAATTTAATGAAATTAAAATAGTAGTTTTATAGAAATCTATTAAGGAGCTCTGGTGGCACAGTGCCTGAGGCATTTGTCTGCTAACTAGAAGACTGGCAGTTCAAACTCACCAGCCACTCCATGGAAAGAAGATGGGGCAATCTACTTCTGTAAAGATATACTGCCTTGGAAACCCAATGAACTCACTATGAGTTGGAATTGACTTGATGGCACTGGGTATAGGAATCCATTGGTGCTGAAGAGGAGCCCTGGTAGTGCAGTCATTATCATGCTTGGGTGCCAAAATGCCAGAAGTTCAAACCCTCTAGCAGGCCAGTGGTTTGAACCCACTAGCTGCTCTATGAGAGAAAGATGTGCCAGTCTGCTTCCACAAAGATCAAAGCCTTGAAAACTCTATGAGGCAGTTCTGTGCTACTCTGTTTCATAGGATCACAATGAGTTAGGATCAGCTTAATGGCAATAGATTTTGGGTTATTGGTGCAGAACATGAAGCTAATTATTTGGCCCTTTTAAACTTTACAAATATTACCAATGTGTGACATTCACATGTTTATTATCTCCTTTGACATACAATTTTCAACTTCATTTTAATACACTTCTCCCTTGTGAGCTGGGCTGTTCACTGTAGCTCCAAATATCTCATGTTTGACAAGAGCTTGTGAGGGTTCGTCTGGGCTGGGGGAGGGGGTATGTGCACAGTAGAAAGAGAATAGCCTTGGGTTCAAATCTATTAAATCAAGAGCTTGTTTTTGGATCCTTGAAATTATTTAAAATCTCTGTACCTCCTCTCCACATCTGTCAAACAAGCATAATAACTCCTATCTTATAAATTAAAGGAGAACATTCTATGTATAATGTGCAGTACATAGTAATTGCCTATTAAATATCCCTTTGTTAGTTAAAAAAAGAAGAGTTTATTTAATTAAATCATTTGATGAGAGTAAATAGAAGGTGAAGCACATACATCATCCCTTACCTGCTCTGATACAGGCTCAGTGTCTCAGGAGGGGCAGGTATCAACAGTAACTATACGCTTGCAAAACAATGAAAGCCTGGGATATGGCCCTGCTACCCAAGTTACAGGTTCAAATCTCTGCCCTCTCATCTCTCGACTGGATTAGATTTTTGTTTTATTTTAAGATAATGAAGAAATACCATAATAAGACACCTGAAATTTTAGTTTTATAGTGAAGAGCTTGCTGGAAACTGATTTAATTTAGTCATCTTGAAAGCAGATGAAAAATAATTTGATTACACATGGAGAAAAAGCATGTAAAATGCTAGAGATGAACAAAGAAAATAAATTTTCAGTTGATGTGCTTGATATCACGATGAGCAAACAGATTTGTTCAAACACTAGTTGCCTTCTGGACTGTAATTTTACTCAAATATTATTATTTTCCTATAATTAAGGTAATATAAAATTATAAAGATTTTTGAAAATAGTGAAGTGAAAAATATGCTTTTCCTTCCAGGCTTTTCCCTATGTGTATTTTTTTTTTGTAGCTGCAATCACAGTTTGTGAATAAGTTTTAAACTTACCTTTTCCAGCTAATATTATGACAAAGCATTCTTAAATGCCAAGTAATATAAACCACAATTTATTTAACAAATTTTCCATTGTGAATATTACACTGTTTCCAAAATTTTCCTGTTATATATAATGATTGTGAAGAACAACTTTGCTTTCAGAGTTTTTTCAAAGGATTTTATCTGTATGAAAATTCAGGTTTTAAGAGGAAAAATAAAAGTACCAGCTTTTGTAATTAAATTGAAGTATACCTTCCTTTGGTCCTACTATTGTGCCCAGCACCATTTGTCAATTCTGATTTCTATCAGCTTCTGCCTGATGTGAGAGCCTTGCTTAAGTTGCAATATGCTATATAGGCATTTGTATTTCAAATGTAGCTTCACCAAACCCAAATACTAGTACAAGGTCAATGAGAAAGACAGACTCAGAAGAAGAAAATAAATGACAAAAAAACAAACAGTATTTTAAAAGGACTGGAGAATTTTATGAATATGTTTATCTCCTAAACTAAAATGGAAGGACTAGAGTGGGCTGTGTAATTGTCATTTTGTCTTTTACTAACACTGCCTTTGTCTTTTAATCGTTCTTCTTATGTATTCACGTCCACCCCCATCCCCAGATTATTCTTCAAAGAAAGTGAAATTAAGTAAATTTAAGGGTTCAGTGAATTTGCCACTTGCCTTACTTTCTGCTTTCCTTTCCTGCTGTGTGTCTAGATACAATTTTCATTACTCCAGGCAACATTTATTGAGAATCTACTATATGTTAGGTTCAATGCTAGGTGCCGGAAAGTCAATGGTGAGTGAAAACCGGACAAAGTCCCTATTGGGTAAGAGGAAGGTAGAGGTGTGGGAGGGTTCTGATTGGATAAACATTTGAAGGCAGAGATAGAATTCATTAAGTGAAGGGTGAGTGGGTATATATGCATGTGTGAAGGGCATTTCTGTCAGGGAAAAACCTATGCAAAGCTATGTGGTGTGAATGAGCATGGGGATGCAATGAAGATGAAGGTCCACATGTAAGAAACCCTACTCCCTCAGTGTAAACCCTTATTGTCACATTAATGCTTCAAAACATGAAGCTCTGTTGAATAATGCTTCCCTGTTATCCTCTATGTCTAATCATGTGAAATGGTTCTGAAAAGTTCCAGGGCCCCAGTGCATTTACCTTTTTTCATTATGTCTGTAAGATGAAGAGGTCCGGCCACTGGTCCATATAAACATCTTAGAGGATGTAGGTCCAGGGGCTCCTTTCCTTATAGTAGAAGTCCTGGAAGAATGGCCAAAAGACCTAGAAGAGATATATTGACATTAAATCTAGTACTTTAGATATTGGAGACTCTCTATCAACAGAAACCAATAGCTCTCAGTGGATTGCACCAAGTTTCTAATTCCTTTGGAGTACCTGCATGGTGCAAACAGTTAATGTGCGTGGCTATTAACCGAAAGATTGGTCATCAAGTCCACTCAGAGACACCTCAAGTCTACCCAGAGGGTCTTTGGAAGAAAGGGCTGGCAGACTACTTCAGAAAAATCAGTCATTGAAAACTCTATGGAGCATTAATCAAGGCATACACTAAACCATTGTGTATTGACTTTCTGATGTTTGGGAATAAATCTATAACAGATGCTGTCGGAGTAATAGTGGCTTGGTAACCAGTTTTTTAAAAAACAACAACAAAAAAATTCACTGCTGTCAAGTCGATTGCGACTCATAGTGACCCATCCTTGGGTTTCCAAGGTGGTATCTCTATGGAAATAGATTGCCTGGTTTTCCTTCCGAAGAGTGGTTGGTGAGTTTGAACCACCAGCCTTCTGGTTAGCAGTCAAATGCCTTAGGCCCTATGCCACCAGGGCTCCCTGGTAACCAGTAGAGAGGCAAAAAGTCACACTTCCACCTGGGCCTCCTAAAAGGATGGCGTGAATAAAAGGATACATCTAGATGGATGTCTTAGACAGTTTTAGAAAGATTTAGAAATTGAATCTGCTAACTCTTTAAAATATTTGCATCTGGAATATTTAAATTTATTTATGTTCCTTTTTAACATCTTTAAAATATATCTGATAAAATAAGTATTAAATCCATTATTAAAACCAGTCAGCTTTAAGGAAATAAGAATGATTTTTCTAAGTTGAATGAACTACTTCATAAGAATGAGGACTGACTGGCTTAAATGTTCAGGAAGTTATTTCAGTGTTGACTCTGGTGAAATTCTCTGATTACTTTAATCACTCTTTCAAATAACAGAATGCAGAGTGGACAAAGAAAAGTGACACAATTTGAATCTTAGGTAAATGCAGGAAATTCCTGAGAACTAGCCTGTTACCGGTTATTAGCTAGAATTTAATACATATACACATTATACATACTGTAAATGGCTTGAAATCATTCAAAGTGAAAGGGCTGCAGTGAGTTCAATACAGTTACAATATTTTTCAGACAATGTGCCATTATTCTAGCATTGCACCCTTGCCTTGTTGTTTTAAGATGATACAAAAAGAGAGAGATGAAAGATGTATTTATTCCAATTAACTGTCTAAAGCTTGTTAGTAGGGATTTAAAGATTCTTCAGCTTATTCCAATAAGTAGATTTGGAGTTTCTCCACCTTGGTTTTCTTTCGTAAAGATAAACTGTTATTTAAAATCTGATAAGTTGGTAGTTAATTAAAATGAAACAGAGAGTTGCTTTAAGGACAGTGGTATAAAGCTTTTGTGGAAAGAAAATCCCAGGCTTTAAAAAAAGACCCAGAATTCAAAATATGTTAATGGAAGCTGGTTTGGAGATTCTCTGTCAGCTCAAAGACAGCCCTCCTGAACTGCCTAAGTAATTAACTCTACTTATTTTCATTTCCTCTGTTAAGGAAAGTAATATAAAAGCAAGAAGAAAATTATGTTATAAAATTTTGTATTTTGGAGTCCTAGCACAAAACTGAGAAATCTGTGTTGGTGGCTGCACAGGATTATGAGAGTGAGGGAGGAAACCAGGATTTAATTGATCATTAAGTAATCTAGGAACTGGGGTGAATCTGGTAGCACCATTACTACATGACTGAAGATGACCATGGTCTAAAAACCAGAGTCCATAAAAGATGTAACTTCAGCCTTGGATGAAAGGAAGGAGTCAGCGAGAATGTAACAACTTCTGTGCTTCAGGAATTTATGAAGGGCACCTTTCCATTTCTCAATCATATATCTTACAATTTTTTACCTCCATGATTCAGTTCATGCCTTCACCTCTGTCTCCTTTCCCTGACTGGTAAATGAATTACTCTGTTTCAAAGTCATATCACAGGGACATGAACGACTCGTACATTGAAAACCATAAAACATTGCTGAAAAAAATTAAAAAGACCTAAATAAATGGAAGCATGTTCTGTATTCATGGACTTGAAAAGTCAATGTTGTTAAAATGGCAATACTACCCAAAGTGACCTATATAGAGTCAGTGTATACCCATCAAAATTCTGGCAGCCTCATTTGTAGAAATGGGAAAGCCATTCCTCAAATTTACAATGCCTAAGGCACGCACTTGACTGCTAACCAGAAGGCTGGCAGTTCAAACCCACCAGCCACTCCTCGGAAGGAAGGTTGAGCAATCTACTTCCACAGTGATGCTGCCTCAGAAACCCAAGGAGGGGTCGCTATGAGTTGGGGCCGACTTGATGGCACATAACAACAACAACAACAAGTGGTCCTGAGTAGACAAAGCATCTTGAAAATGAACAACAAAGTAGAACTCAACTTTTTGATTTCAAACTGTACTTTCATGGATTGAATTGTGTCTGCACAAAATATGTGTCAACTTGGCTGGGCCATGATTCTCAGTGGTTTAGCAGTTATGTAATGATGTAAAGTGGCAGTTGTGTAATGATCCCTCATGATGTGATCTGGTGTGATAAACCAACCAGTTAGTTATGGAGGGCATTAAGGTAAGATGCAACACTTTTTTTTTTTTTTTTT